ACATTTATCGCATAAATCTATCGCATGAATTTATTCAGCGTGATGGATTTAGCGCATAACAAACCCTGTCATCGTCTTTCGTTCATCTTTTCTACCCAGCATTGTTCCGGCTAAGCTATAACGATGGTTCCATTATAATCGATCAACGCGACACAAACCTGATGGGTCTTCATGATTTGCGTTCAAAGGTTTCAATTATTCCACAAGAACCAGTTTTATTCTCGGGTTCGATGCGTTACAATCTCGACCCATTCGACGAATACTCTGACGACAAACTTTGGTCAGCGCTTGAGGAAGTCCAACTAAAGGATTCCGTTAGAGATATGCCAGGTGGTTTGCAAGGCCGAATCACAGAAAGTGGTGCCAATTTCAGTGTGGGTCAACGTCAATTGATTTGCCTAGCGAGAGCCATTCTTCGTGAAAACAAGGTACTGGTACTAGATGAAGCTACTGCCAACGTGGACCCACAAACCGACGCGCTCATACAGTCGACAATAAGAAACAGGTTTGCCAATTGCACAATTCTAACGATCGCCCATCGTTTACATACAATTATGGATTGCGACAAAGTTATGGTCATGGATGCAGGCCAATTGGTAGAATATGCGAGCCCGTATGAGCTCTTAAATGATTTATCAGGCAACAAAGTGTTCTACGGTATGGCCAAACAAACTGGCCGCTCCACATTCGATTCATTGTGTAAAATGGCAGCTGAGGCGCACGAGGCTCGCAAGAATAAATAAACATTAGAAGGTCGCTGCCAAAGATCAAACCATAAGAATCAATTTTTCACATTTACAAACATAAGCATGTTATTCCTGTCTATATATTGTTTCATTTTTTGTAAGCGCAACATTTTTAACTTGTCTGAGAAAACATACAGTTACATACAGAGTACATACCAATTGTTAATAATATCCGATTTGGCGGGTACATACAAATGGAACCAAGTACTAACTATTCACAGTTACCTCATATTCTCCTTTTTTGTCACGGCTTCATTGCTGTTGAATTTGTTTGAAATGTAACATGTATGATACCAATACATGCTCTATATATTGATATTATTGACAATAAGAATCTCTTTAGTGTGCCTTCGGATTATGTACGGAATAAAGAACATTTATTGCAACGTTAAATGATTTTGTTTCATTTGGTCTAATCAAATTCATGCAACATTCGATTTATAAGTTAAGAAATAAAATGATTCATTTATTTTCATATTTTAAAGCAAATTACAGTCACATTCGTCGACAAATACTTAAATTATCATTTAAAACATATATTCTTTGAATGTATCTCTCTTCTTACTTATGCAAGCAAGATAAACGTTCCGCTGCCATTCATAAAATTAACGTTAAATCTACTTTTGAGGACAGATTATTTCAAATTTCCTTCGATACTTTCAACAACTAAAGGCTATAAGCATCTCCAATGCGAAAAATCAATCAATAAATTAGAGCATAATTATATTACATGATTTTAATTTTTTGACTATCATTTCTGTTATCTTTATCATCGAAAAAAATCTTCAATCAGTGCGCATGGCAATGGAACATACAAAAATCGCAAATAAAATTAATGAAATCACCGAAAAATTCAAAAATCGACCTTTTCAAATGCTTACTTTATGAGACAAAAAAAAATTCGTAAAAATCATTTTATCAACAACAGCTGATATCTCTTGTTGACAATTTCCGCCAAATAATGGAACGCGTGTTATAATTTATAGATGATTAAATAAATGGATTGAATTGGATCGAACTGTTTTTTTTTAAATATATCGTCAGCTGTCATGGTAAATGTTTGACTTAAACTACTTCTCTAATTCTAATGGATTCACTTGAATTCATCGAGTGGCATAATTTTTTATCGCGCCGATGATAAGATGTTGCATATACGGAGATGTATTTTATAGCAAACATCAAAAGAATCACCAGTGTTACCGCACTGATTGCGAGCACAAGGGCCGGAAACAATGAGTCATTCCGCGCGTGAACTGGTGTTCCAAATAGCCAAGCAGACATCTCAAGACGGTGTGCGGCATTTCCATTTTCAATACGGCATAGATATCTACCGTAATTGTGCAGTTCAACCGCTGGGACTATCAACAGGGCCCCAACTATTTGATCATCCTCTCTGTTGGAAAATAATGTTGATGTATTCAATTAGAAAATATTCATTTCATTAATTTCATGTTTCACTCGCTACGAAAAGCGAGTAGATCAAAACTAAAACTCACCTTCTGATTAATTCCTGTGATTTAATGTTTTGTTCCATGCCGTCTTCAAACACTTGGAACCATGAAATGAAATTTTTTGAATCTGGCAAACGGATCGATCCGACAAACGCTTCGCAATAGAAGCGCGCTTCATTGCCAAGTTCGATGTATTGATCGTGTGGTTTGTATGTAGCCAACGGGGAATCCGGCAAACTTGCTGTAAATGAAATTATATGATAAAAACCAATTGATTATTTCAATAAACACAGTAGAAATGCACGATACTTGATTAAACTGATAAACGTAGTTGGATGATGCATTTTTTTCCGCCACACATTTAAATTGTAAATATCTTGTTATTTTTCATTTAATTACCTTGGACAGTGAATTCGATAATATGCTCCATTTTATGAGTATCATTGCGAATGACACATGTGTAATTGCCGTTGTCGTTGACTGTTGCATGTCTCGTGTAAATCGTTTGGTTTTCTGCTTGTGGATACAGAATTAATGACGAAGACCACGGGTACGGTTTTCCGTTTTTAAACCTGAAAATTGAAAAAAAAAGAACGCAACGTTGAGAGAGAAAAAAAAATGAAATAAATTAGTGTCACTCCATTTTGTTATGAGCAAGTCATTATTATGTTTTTTTTTTCAATAAATAAATCCAACCAATTTGTTTTGATCATTGAATGGAACATTCTTATGAAATGTGTAAAAATATCAATTTCATATGAAATATATTTCCGAGAATTTCACTGTTTCGCACAGTTTACGACTGCCAATTGCGAAAGTATACTTAAAGCAAAAGACAAAATAATTTGTGCACTCCCTCCCGTACGGTTTCACATACACACTGCTATGTGTTTCGTGCGAAAGGCATGAAATGCAATTTACTTGTTAGTCGCCACCGTGTATGGAAAGCATCTTCAATCGTTATTTACGTCATAATTTCGAGTAATTGACTCATATTCATGTGCTGAGTCTTCGCTTGAGCAAAACCAAACACGAAACTATGATGGATTTGTATAATCTGACGAAATTTGCAATAACATCGATTCAATATTAAAGTGGGTTTTTTTCTTCGAAGAGCCGCAACTCTCTTCAAACTTCTCCAATTCTCGCATTCTTGTTCATTTGTTCGTTGGTTGGTTGAGGCTTTTTTTCCTGTGGTCAGACGTAATTGAAGATATTCCTAGGTAATGCGAACGTGGGGAAAAGGTTTTGAGCACATTCAAAGGCGGTTCTGCAAACGCATTCGAACAACGAAAAATTCACATCGGAACCATACAAAATAAGCAGTTTGTGTGTAATAAATCATTTTGTTGTGCATAAAACTCGCTATAATCATATAATTGTGTACAAGTTAGCTGAATGTTTGGCCTTTCTGCACATCAGTGCACAGAACGAAAATTACGCAAATGCATTTCTCGGAACAAATTATTACATTGAACCCATTGATCGAAACGACAGACACCGAGAACGATTTATGTGCTGCATATTGCACGTTTCAATTGTCTATTTTCTCCCAACAGAGCATAACTATGAAAATGTTGAAAATGGTAAGAGCTCAGGTTGGAAAATGTGTGATTTTCCCCTTTTTTTATCATTTTTTCAATAAATAAAATCGTCATGCAAAAAAACTCCAAATGCACACACTGAAACACACAGTTCATTTTTTACTAAAGAATCGCTTGGGAGAATGAGAAAACCATTTTTTGCGTTATTAATTCGCTTTCTGTGATCGTATCAAACGCGTTCTTGGAATATTCACTTCACAAGCAAACGTGCGCACTACAAACATCAATAGAAACTTTTTTTCTTCAGAATTTTTGAAATTGCTCATGTTTATTGAGTATCATTATATGACTGTTGCTTTTTTCGTATCTGTACGGCTGGCTGGTTGGTTTGTTCGTTGTCTTTGTGTGCCAGTTGTATCGACTCATTGTGAAAATAAATTATTAAAGTTAATTTAAACTAATATCATGGCAAATTGTTCGAAAATACCGTACGCAAAACTGAAGCGGCTGCAATAACTAGAAATCATAATAATAATAATCATTCAGGAATTGTATTCTTGTTTGATGTCATTTGATGAGTGAAAGAGTGTGTCGTGTGTGGTGACGGTGACTTCAGTCTATGATTAATATGTATCGCCGGACTCGACTCGACTTGACTCGATTCAAGTCGACATCTAATGAAATATATTTTTATTTAATAATAATGGGCAATTAGCTCTCGGCATAGAAATAGACATGTTATTCTTGATAAAATTCAATTTTCTCGGTGCCCGGCAATACGTTGCTCTAATTAGAAAATTTCAACTATTGCGTGTGAACAATTAAATATTAAATGACGTATATTTAGCACTAAATGCCATGGATTTGCCAAAGGAAATTGCAGAACATAACGACAGCCACCATATGCATATGCACGGCGTCGCTGTTTTCTTGTCCATTATTTATTCACATTCTCTGAACGTGCATGGATGGATAAATGGGTTCTGACTCGCAATCCTGTTCATCGCTGTGTGTAATTTTCATAATGGGCTTATTAGGGGGGAATCTTAAAATCGTACATGGAATAATCGTGTCTTATAGTCAAGATAATAATTAACCCTTCGATTGATTTTGCATTTTTAAATTTGAAATTTACACAATTCCTTAATTGGTTTAGACATTCGTTTGCATGAGAAATTCGAAAATTGGCCTGTAATCGCTTCAGTCTACAGGCTGCATGACAGACGAATGCACTTACTAATTCCATAAATTCTCTAAAATTGAAAATTGAATCGATACACCAACACAAAGAGCAACAAATAAACCGAATCTAGCGATGACCGAGTGCTCATATACACAAAATACCCAGAATAACGAATGAACTAATTCCAGCGATTGCAATCAATGTTTGTGGCTTACCTCAACTGTCGTTAAGTTTTGTTGTTGGCTTCATCGGTTGAACGTTATCCGAACTCCGATTATGCATAGTTTTACAAGGAATTTTGATTGCATTCTCACATCAATAATAATATGTTTGCGTTAACTCGACTTATTTATGACTTCATATTTCTCGATGGCAGCCGATGCAGCGGAATGAGCGCACAGCGAAAGAGAAAAGCCAATAATAATATGTTAATGAATGGACGAATGCACAAAAAAGGAGCATTCTCTTGTCTTGGAGAGCTATATAGAGCGCAACAAAGCCGTTGATCTTAAATTTCTGACGGAAAATCGAATACTTTACATTTGCAAATCGTTATGCCGAAGTTTTATAGATTTTACAACACTTTCACGAACTCACTGTCGCTCTTTTTTCGTATAAGATTTGTTGAGATTTCTTTTTAAATTTTCGGTCGGTTGGTTTTTCATTGAAAAACCGAACAAAATTGTGTTTAGACTGTAGACATGTTGGTTGCATCGACGACTCATCACCACATGATAGTTATTATCTTGTTTCGTCATGGTCGCTAACAAAACCCAGACGTTATTCACTGTCGCAAAACCGGCCAATCACATGAATCATCCGCACACAATTTCACACATAAAACAACTGGTATTTGCTCATCGATTTTGGTGTTTACTTCGTTGAATCGTTTTCATTTTTTTCTTTGGCCAGAGATTGTGTAAAACACCAAATGTTTGCGGTCGTCGTTCGGATCTTCGCCTTCACATTTAATTATAATACGCAAAATGATTCAAAGTTAGGCGATGAACTTTGCAGACGAGAGAGTTTGTTAATAAAAGGAAGCGCCGTGTGTTTCCAAGGGAGCAACAAGTTTTTCTTTCTCATCTCGAATTACAAACAAAAAATTTACTCCTCGGGTGGAAACCTAAGGCGCATAAAAAACGGATAATGCGACTATAGTCCGTTGCCTTGGTGAACAAAGTATTGCTGCGAAGTTGTGAAAATGCAGCAAAATATGCTCATTAATTAACTCATTACATCCAACAAACATATTTTAATACTCTATTCAGCAGTTAACTTCAACTATGAGTTGGTCAACATAAGCTGCAAAAAGACTCGGCTTTAATCCCATTCGATTGTTGTACTAAATGAGACAGAATGCAATGTAGACGAAATGGACAACAACTCCCCCATGGCTTTGATCGCTTTCTTAAATCTCCTAAACTGTAAAACTTTGCAGTTTAACGATTTCTAAAGACTATAAAAAGAACAAAAGCCGGGGGAATTATTGCGAATTTTTTCGGTGCGTTTCACTTCTTTTCTGTTTTGTTGTGTCTGTGTGCTGAACATTTGGAACCCAGTGCAAACGATTCTATTTCTTTCTTTTGTGGTAAAATACATAGTGATTTATGGGCAGTTGTCAGAGACGACGATAAAAATCAGTGTTTTTCCTCAAATCAGTTGACCGTGGACTGGATTTTGCCAGGCCAATTTATACTTTAGTATTCGAATTTCGGCATAAAATTGAACAAAAGAGACAGAATAACTGAAAAAATGAAGATGACGAAAAGAAGAAGAAAAAAATTGGGTGCATTGTGTGTGAATGCGATTTACATGCGTCGCTTCAGCACAATGATGTTTTTATCTCTTTCCTGGTAATCTAATGTCAAACCAGAAATTAATACACATAGTCCGGGCGAGCATTCGAAACCGCAGTCGCATGTTCGTTCAGGCTTTGCTTTGCTTTGTTTTTGTTGTTTCATGCGACCAAATGTGGAAAATGGAAGGAATTCGATCGGAAATGTTGAAATTTGTATGCACAATGCCGAGTTCATTCAATCGCGATTAAAATTGAATAGACATTCAAACCGACAGCCAATTTCCTTTTGCAATCACACAACCATCCGTATGGTGAATTTGCAATCACAATCAAAGTCAAACAGCATTCATGTACAGCGAATTTTCAAAAGAGATTTTAAGCCAGTGTTAATTGTTTTTATTATTTCTTTTACTCTGAGATTGATAAATTATTCTGTTATTCTATTCTGACAAAATTCGGAAAAAAACATTTGCAACTTAATTTCACATAAAACACATTTCCAGCTACTTGGCATGTTCGTTAACTAAATGAAACCAATTTTTTAAAAATAGATCGTGAAATTCCCAAATAGTTGGAATTTCGCAGCGAAATCGCCGTGTGGCAATGGGGAATTTGAATTTCAGCTGCGTTATTTTCTTATGTAGAGGCGAACACATTTATCGGCAACGTAAGCAATTGTACAGCAGATGGGAAAAAATTAATTTTATCTGTGCAGCACACGTTTACAACGAGCATGTTTCAAATCAACATCGGCACGCTCAAAACGAAACGGAACAACACACTCATAGGCTGATACCGAACGCACGAACTATTGAGATACAAGCTGCGAAAAAAAACCAAATGTGTCTTATGACTCATAATCTTTCCCGTATTGTTTCACACCTCATTAATGGAATTATGAAAACAATCGATAAATTTCATTAGAACTGGCTACGTTATGCTCAGCAAATAGATTCGAAATGTTGGCAAACAACTCAGCACTGATAAAAACGCTGATTTCAAATGAAAACAAGGAGCTATCGATTGGATTAAGTGAAAAAAACA